TAATTTATCTTGTTTCCTCTGGTGAGCTGCTGTGTTAATTCATGTGGTAACTACATTTGAATTCTGGTTCCCCCAACTGCGTGATCAAGTCAACTTCTTAAACCTCCATTTCTGTGTGTTAACTCAGCATCATCTTCTTTCTACCTTCATCAGCACCGTTGTGAAGATGAAGCCACACACGAAGGTCTGATGACAATGTTAAGAGGGAAAAAATGGCTTGTTTTCTTTTTTAATTTCTTTAAAGTATTAAGATCTCTTCAGCCTTAGAAGTCTAATACAGTATAAATAACCTGGTGTTTTTCGTTACCCTGGCCAAAGAAATGTTGTCAGATCCGAAATGGCAAAGCCTGGTTGTATGTTTCACTTGTTCTTAATCATAATTCCAAAGATATTGATTTAAGGAGAATTTGTACTGTACTTTAGAAACTGTGGGTTGGCTTCCATGTTACCTTCAGCCAGAGAATTTCCGGTTAAAGCAAGAAACAAACAAACAAAAAACCCCAATCAGACTCTGATTTTAAAAGCTGTGTAACTTTATTTCCTTCATACATACACACAAAAATGTCAAGTCGTGCAGACGGTAGAGCAGAAAAGCTCACTCATAGAAGTACAAATTTTACTTGTTCTCTTAAAAACTTCTTTCTGCATCAAAATGATTCCAAACTCAGTTCCTCATATCTTAGCCAATCAAAGAGGCCTCTTTAAGCTCATGAAACATAAGGTTTTAATTTACAAGGGATCATCTATATTTCTTTCCCAGGGCCTCACAGAAGGACTATATTTTAAATCCAATACAAATGCCTGTATGTTTTGCAAAAGATTTCCCAGATAATATATACTATTTCCAATTGCATAACAACAACAGAAGTAATTAAAGCAGAGTCATGAGATAGTTCTTTACCTCTAGTCTTTTTGAGGCACTGAGGGTTAAGTAATAGCTTTAGCAAAAATCTTCTCTAGTTAACCTTTGAATTACAAGAAAATTTTGGATAATTATTACCCTACCTTGTTGAGGATAATTTAGTGATATTTTTTCCTTTCATATTTCTATTTTTTTAAATGTGTTTTCTGAGATCTGTGTATAAGTAATCCTGATTCATATTAAGACCTAGTGAACATACCCATCCATATTAAATCTTTGACTCTTTCCATGTTTAATATGTAAATTCTAACAAATTATAGCTGACTCTCAAAAGATAAGTTAGTTTAGGATCTTGATATGAATCAGCCTGAAGTTCCTGTGAGATAAAAGTCAAGATAATCAAACTTACAATCTCTTTTGATAAGTTGTTTTAAGGAAAGCAATATGTATTTTTAAAAGATGTATGTAAATGAATCCAAGAACTCTCTCACCAATGTCAAGAACAGATTTGTGTAACAATGAAGTAAGAAAAGACATTAGGTTTTACAATTGTAGCAAAGAATACAGATGTTTTGGAAGACAAGAATTGGCTAATGTAGAAATTCCTGGGTTGGAAATTCAAGAAGAAATGAGGTAGAGATCTACGCTGAAAGCTCAGGCAGAGTTACTAGTACACCTAAAGCACCTCTATAATAGACTCCTAGGGAGGGAATAGCATAGTCCAAGCTTTCTCTCTCACTATCAGCTCCCTAACCCAGCAATACCCTTCACTAGGAAAGAGAAGAGTTAGAAACTCAGAGTAGATCAAGTTCTCACTTTTCATTCCAAACACACAAAAGTGATACAGAAGTGAGAGTCCAACCTTAAAAAGTTTAGTTTCAAGATGTTAGGTTTAATCCAGCAATTCTCAAACTGTATTCCATACTGCATGAGTGTCAAGCAAAATATTTATTGTGTGTGTGTGTGTGTGTGTGTGTGCGCGCGCGCGCTTTCCAAGTGCGTAGGTATATTCCAAATGCAGGAAATAGGTAAGATAAAGTTTAAAAAGGTTCTTTACCTTACCACTTCTCAGATATTTTATTAAGCTCACATGAGTCTCCAATAAGGACAAAGAGTATGGCCTTTTCCCAAACTTGTTTGAACAACTTTATGTCACAGAACACCTTTAGGGAACCTATGGCATTTCACAAAATACAATTTGGAAAATGCTAGTCTAACTTGTCAGTCCCAAGCATTGATACTCCTACCATCTCTATCCAAGTGTAGAAAACTGTGTTAAACACTGAGGAAATGCCACGACCTGCACCCCAAAACCAAATTTTCTCCTATAATTTTCAGGAATGGACATGTTCACCCAATGGAAGTCCATGGATTTTGGTCAGGCACAAAGCCTACCCTGGCACTTACTGGCTGTAGGACCTCAGACAAATAACTTAACTGCTTTGGTCCTTGGTGTATGGGATGATGCTCCAACCTACTGAGCCACCCGGCCAGGGCCAGGAACACTTTAAAACAAATATATATTTTATGCATTTACTGAACTTATGAATATTTGAAGAACAAATATATATATATATTATAGCTGGAGCAGTGTCATTTTGTTTTAACAGGTAAAGATATGACTACACATTCTTTAGAGACACTGACATGCATGGTGATGAAATTCACAGTGTCCTGTTAATGTGTAGTTCAAGTAACGTTGCCAAACTCAAGGTGTTTGGCACCTGGGGTGTTCTATTAAAGAATGAGATGCGGTTGTAGTCAGGTAGTTTTATTTACTTGCAGCAAGTAAACAGGGAATTCACATCCAAAGCTGTCTCTCTGAAGGGGGTTCTCAAGTTTTTCTCTCTAAATATATACTATTTAGTCAATTACATTTCGATTCCTTCTTTGCAGTTGACTACACTTACCTGGCTGGGTTCTGGTTGAGCTCATCCAGTTACAGCTGCATCTGCAAAATACTGTGCTATATTTTAGCATTTAGCAAGAATAGCATTCAGTAAGAACCGCCCAGACCTTGAAACCCAGGTCCTAGCTAACAAGTACACCCATCTTAAGTAGTGACCTTCATGTGTGGACTAATCTTCACGCTTTTTGGTGACAGTGTGCCCCTGGCTCCCTCTTTCACAGTCATCTTATAGCCAACCCTTGCTGATGTGGGGGAGAAGTGGCCTTTAGTAGCTCCCTATTGTCTGTCTGTATAATTAAGCCCAAACTTTTTTAGCATGGACTAAAACTTTTTCCTGACTTCCCCAAAATACATCAGCCACTCTTATCCCCCCCCCCCCCCCACACACACACACTCATCCCACCCTTTGAGCAATGTAAGCATTTCTGAGCTCCTCCTGTCTTTTGCACCTTTCACTCACCTCTCCATCAGAACCCTCCCCACCCTTTCCACAGCCTGGCTGCTTCCCACCTGCTCCTTCAGCTTGAGATGGGCCCTCAAATAACATCTACAGGTCTGTGTCCCCATAGTACTCTGCCCTTGTGTAAGGCTGGGCCACCTCTTGTTGACCTCTGTACTCTTCTACTTAACAGTGCTTACAGCATAATAGGTGCTTGGTAAGAACTACTTAGACAAATAAATGGATAAGCAAAAGCCAGAAAATAATGGTAGAAAAGTATCCCGAGAGAGTCTAATCATAGGCCAACAATCCTAGGTAGGATTAATAACACAATGGCACTTGATTGATAAAACTGAGTCATGTAGTTAAACCACTTGGGGGGGGGGGCACAAAAAACCTTACACAGAAAACAAGAATGTAAGTCAGCTGAGATGGATTGTGTTGTTTGAAATGAGGAAGGGGATATGCAGTCTGCTTTTAGCTTTCAGACTTGTGTTTTTTTTTTCCAAACTGGCATCCCCAGCTCTGCAGCCCAGCCTCTGGCACCTAACTGGCCCGGGCCTGACACTCCCAGAAGTTCCCTCAAGAGCCATGGGCGTCCCGGGCTTTGGGAGGCTCCCAGTAGCTCTCCAGGGCCCAGGCTGGCCGCCAGCCCAGCTCGGAGCCACCTCTGGGATCCCGGGCTGCGAGGAAGCTGGGGGCCAGGGGGCGGGGGTTCTCAACTTTTTTCCTCTCTGCATATTTAATGGGTAGTTTCCCTTTGCTTCTGTTTCTGACTTGATTAAAGAGGAGAAAAGGGAGTTTGACTACAAGAATAGTAGCAGGCGGCGCATCTGGCTTGAATTTTAAAATTCCATCCAAGTTTTTGCTGTTGTTGTTGTTTTTGTGTGTGTGCTGTTTGCTTGTTTTCATTTTTACAGCGATCCGAGAACTTCTTGGGGGGACATGGCACATCCAAAGCCCGCCCAGCCCAGCCCGAGAGCTCCAGGGTTTATTAGGGTAATATTTTACACAAAAACTCGACAGACATCAACTCAAAGGAAGCCGTGCGCTCCTTAAGTCAAAGGCATCTGTTCTGAGCGCCTCGCTCGGTTTGCCGTTTGTCACCAGCGTTAAGAGCAGGATTTTAAAAACATGAAAATGGATAAAAGAAAAGAAAAGCTAAGTCCCGCGGTCCGCCAACTCCTATTCATTATCTCCAGCAGCATATGGGACCATTCTCCCACTTGTCCTCTCCCTTTCTTCCTTAAAAGTAAAAGCAACCGAGCCTGTCCCGCTTCACAGCAAACCCACTCTTTGTGCCTGAGCGGTGCCTCTGCCACTACTACTTCCTCCGCCTCCCGCCTCCCGCCTCCCGCCTCCCCCTCCTCCCGCGCGCCGCCGACTTTCACTGGGGGAAGAAGGCGGCGGGCGCCCTTTGCGCCGGGAAGCCGGAGCCGCGATTGGGCGACGGTCCCTGAGCCTCCAGGTCCGTGTCGGTTTCAAGGCTCCTCCCTCCTGGTGAAAGACAGACTGCGGGGCGCCTGGAAACCGGTCCGAGGGCGCGCGAGGGAGAGGAGAGCTAGCGAGTTGAGGGATTGACACAAATGGTCAGGCGGCGGCGGCGGAGAAGGAGGCGGAGGCGCTGGGGGGAGCCGAGGCCGCTGGGCTGCCGAGAGTTGCGCGCTCTACCCGGCCGCGGCCACTAGCGCGGCGCCGCCAGCCGGGAGCCAGCCAGCCGAGGGCCAGGAAGGCGGGACGCGACCCCGGCGCGCCCGAGCCACCCGGGCTCTCCCCCCCGCCCGCGCTTCATGAATCGCAAGTTTTCGCGGCGGCGGCGGCTGCCGGGCGTCAAACGGGAGACGCGGGAGCCGGGCGAGCGCTGCTCGGGCTCGACGGAGGGCACCGGCGCGGAGGAGATCTCCCCGGCGCAGGGGGA